TTCGAATCGATACCTTCGTTACCGGCCATGTTATTTCTGCTAAGCGGTTGCCCAGCAATTTCTGATCGAGTGTGTTAAGTTCTAACTTCAGGCTTCTTTTATGATCTTTTGTATCTCGTAGTTGCCGATGTCACTGTCGATTAATATCTTCGAATAGATTCTAGTTAGAGCCGTTTCCTCTATCGGATCACAAAAAATAAGACAAAACATTTTTCGAACGAGAAACGCCGTTTTGAAAAACAACGTGTTCGTCTAACGTAGCGTAACACTCAGGCGACCTTCAGGTATCGATACTTATTACGCTGTAAAACAACGACTCGTAAAATCATATTTACCCTACTGAGCTTACTAAGTACCTACTCAAACAAGTTAGACCGCGTGAAATCATATATAGACCCCCCCCCCTCTCCTCCGCGAAAAAAATTAATTCCAGGACGGTGACTGCAACGCTATTGTATTACGCGTCGATCCACGTGCTCGTACATGTACTTAATAGTATACAAAGGAGCGCACGATCTTCAGTCGTTTTTATAGACGATGATCCTACCACTACTGCAATGTTCCCGACCAATCCACGTTTTCATAAAATGGAAACTGCCGCAACCAGCCCTACGGACATGGCCTTAAGGCTACCTTATGGCCAGCAGTCGAATGTAGTACAAGCTACTAAACAAGGCCGTGCTCATCGTACCACTAAGGGTTTACCCCTCACCTTCACAAGGTCGTAACATCGCTAAAAGTAACATTACTTGTTGTTGAACTGATGCCTGTCTCAGCCGTGCCTCAGTAGGCGGTAGTGAAGGCCTTCAACTTCAAGAGTGCTGCATTGAAGACGCCATCCGAGACCAATAGTGCAGAGGCACCCAGTGAATACTCCAGTGCATGCGCCAGTGAACGCAGCTGAACGCGCCCTACTTGGTAGCCAACTTGTAGTAAGAAGAAGGCCGGGTTAGTTGCGAATCAACGGGAAATTCGAAAAGAGAAGGCCAGCTGCAAGTTACCGTTAGCTTCTCTGGGGGATATGGGTCAAAATGGGGCGGCAAGATGGGAATGGCTGGATAAGATGGATTGACGACCTATCGGTCATGGGCAGCTTGCCAGCAGCTTCTTCTCTTGTCTTTCTTGCTACATTTCATAAGGATGTTGAAAGAACAACGTTAGAAGTGCAGGCTGCACAAGAAATTTTGGAACATGGTCAAATCCGTGACCTGATTGAGAGATATCTTATACAGGAAGATGGTCTGCAAGCAAAAATTCTACCAAAGTCAAAATTGACAGAAAACGGAGTATGCATTTATTACTTTAATGACTTGACACTCACGTGTCTTCAAAAAAAAGATTCGGTTGTAGGGTTCGCGTACCACTTACTGTAATAAATCCATAGCGAATCTCAAGTATATGTAACAGTAGCAGTGTGAGGGCTTTCGCTTAACGTGGCACTTCGGGCACGAATGCATGTTGTATGGACAAACCGTTACGCTATTTCTCTTGCTTTTTTCTCTGACTGTTTTAGCGTTGAGAGGAAGCAATCGATTTTACAATCTATTGCAGAAAGTAACGTTTTTTCTATCTCAGAATTGCCCCCGTGTGTTGTACCTTTTTTAGGTCGACCTCAGCACCGACTTCGGAACTCTATTCGGAAGTTTAACGCTCATATGCACTCTGGTTCTTTGTTCACTATCGTACGGAGTCTAGGTAGCAGCCCTCCATTTTACGGGATCGAAAAGTCCAAAAATACCATTGTTGTATTGCAGGTAAGCCCGACTCTAGATTCTCTCCTGGCTGCAATCCAGTTGGTTCTTTTTCTCATTGTATTCTTCCTATGTTGGTCCCTCCTGGTCAAGCTCACGGCGAGGTAGCCCAAGGCCATAGGAGTGTCCTGGACATACCTAGTCCACGCCGTTTGGCCGGGAGCCAGAACCGAGTCAAATTACAAGCAACATACACGGGGTGCCTCCTGCCGATATACGGCCTGTCGGGCATTCCTTACAACCCATTGCACTGTATGCTACCAACTACCCAAATTGACAACGTTGCCACGCACGTACCTGCTGCTCCCAAATGGTGGCCAAGTGGATGGACTTAAAGATGATACTGCAGTGGTTAAGCACCACGAGATAGTAAAGCAGGATAAAACGTAGGCTTGAACTTTAAGCCCGGGTATTTGATAGGAATGGCCACTCAATTCCCTAAACATCGAGGGTTGCCATCTAGATTGTTTGGCCAGGAAGTGCGTCTTGGGAGAGCAAAGCACGTTGCTGCGTGCACATTATACCGCATGGGTTTGCGCGATAGTACCGAAAAGCCACTGGTCAACTAGCCAAGCAGACTTTTTTAGACATTGGTATCTTACGTACTATACTCAAAAAGTACTAAGATGACCAGTTCTCTAGCTGCTACAAGTCACTTGGATAGCTTTAGTTTAGATCTTATTGCTTATTTTACGGGGAAGCACGTAAGAGTCTAAATGCGTTTCTAGCATGGCAAAATAGACTCGATATTTGACAGCCTCAATATTGTACACTATAGAATTGCCAAGTAGGATTAATCAACAGTACAAAACAATATTTCTCTATTCTATATTTCGATATTGTGACGATTGTCGGAAGCTTGGGGGGTACATTTACGCCTTACATGTACGCCTCACTAGCTATTCTGCCTGATGGATCACTTCAAGCATAAGCACAAAAACAACCTTTGAGGTAGATTACGATACAAGCTTTTCATGTCTGCTGCCCAAAGACGTCGCAGCTTACCTACGTACTACTAGCCATGCTTTGATAACTTGATCAAAGGTAGCTGTTGTCGCGTCTATCGACACACTGTTTTTAGTTATTTGACGATAATGATATTTCTGACTGCAAAAGTTCTCTTTGAACAAGTTAATTCTTATGAACAAAATTATATACGCGTACATCAAAAAATGAATAAATAACATGGCATTACAGAATAACCTTCACATGTGCCTTTTGTGCTAAATGGTCATGACCAGCTTCATCAGCATAATGATTCGCAACCCCTGCTCTATTTTTACTTACATGATAGATTAAATCTCCTTTTTTACCTGATCGAAAACATAGTGTTGCTTCATAAGATCAAACTGCCAAGTCTTAGCACCGCACTATACATTCGAAATTCCCGTTAACAACACCCCATTATGGATGAGCACGCGACTCATAACCAGGGATTAAATAACTAACAGGAATTTCCTCGCGGTCAGCTTCCAGCCTGTTTCTTACAACTGCTTGCTGTTTGTACAACTGCTTGCATAAGTTGTTTAAACATAACGAAAAGTACAAGTAGTGAAAAACAAACAAACGAGATCAATCTTCGTTCATCAAAAATCGAATAGAGGTGGTACGATCGATGCCGTCGTAACCACACCAGATCCATGTAAGTTGTGTCTGATGTATATGGGGTATGAGGAAGGAACCAAGAACAGAATTCAATTTGTGTAGATCGCTCTGCACCCTTCGAAGTTTCCGCATCGTTGTGGCTCTATTTACCAGAGGCATTCTTTACGGTAGTGACACAGAAAGACTACCAACCGCTGAGTTATGTGAATGCCCTTTGGCCATCTCTTCTAGAAATTAAGAGCCAATTTTACTTTATAACTGATGTCAATCGACGATAATGATAGTAATCAAGAACGCTTTATCGGCTAGCCGTCTAATTTCTTGAATCACTTTACTCCAGCCACTACTGACCGTTTGGACATTGTGGGCATAGCTTTAGCGGACCTCTTGTCCACTTCTACTGAAAAGTCATCGTGTCCTGAAATCGCAACTCCCTTTGCGTTACTTTCTCTCCGTCCGATATAGTGCTCGTCCCTTCTGTTTCCGCTGTTACTGCTGCCAATCGTTCCTGGTGTCTGCTTTCCTTTCTCTAGGCGTATATCCCACATTTGTATTTCCTTTATTTCAGTTATCCAGGGTTATGGGCGTTGCTTTACGGGCAGACCGATCACTGACTGTAGATGACGGAACCGAGCTGCAATCAAAGCCAGTACGTCTAATATCCATCTGACATCGCGGCAGCTTGAAGAAAAGTGACCTGCTTTTGCATTCCACGATGAGCAATGCCATTTGTACGGCTACAAGTTCCATTCCCGCCTGCTCCCAACTGCCTCGGGTCTTTGATGTCGGCCGTACAAGATAGCTTGTTGGAGCTATGTCTCTGATCGAGAAGTTTTGTGCGGGTAATGCTGGACGGTGTGAAGCAGTTGCGGAAGAAAGCACGCCAATGTCGATTTATCAATGCAACAAGATACGAGACAATGTTTAGGAGCCCTGTAACCTGTGCTAGTTGCAGACGACATTAGTTCTTAGGTAAAACACAACCCGTTTTCGTTGTAAAGAAGAGACATTGTATTCTTGTAAACGTGCTGGCCAACTAGGATTTACAGAGCGCGAACAGCAATGGAACATACGGCAACGGTCGCTCAGATTCAGAGTTTTACCCTTTTCGTTTACTGCCTTAATTAAGCATTGCTTGAGATAGCCGGCCTCTTCCAGCACCGGATAAAATATGCCTGAACCTGCTTTTGAACGCGTGCACAGCTACTTACTGAAAGCATACACGGTATTTGGGCCGTATTGCCCTTATCTAGGATATATAGAAATTTTGTTGTTGACAAAAGGCCTCGTAATGTTGACATCGCTGTTGTATGGAAGCCATTTTGACCACTACCACTTCGAGGTCAGCTTCAACCTAGAAGGAAAGAAGGGTATTTCTCCCACGGAATATGCGGATGTAACTGGGTTATTAAACTCGGTGCCGATTACCATAATGGACGTAGATCACCAACGGTTAGAATAGGATAGGATAGGCTTGCGTAAAAGTTAGCTCACTATACGTATGCATGTTGATTAATCGGCTACAATACGATAGTGCCTGCCTCAAGTGACTTCTTTGCAGCTTGCCAACATTTACGTACGTTGATCCTAATTATTTATTTACTTTTTTTTTATTAATAATTCATTTTTATGCTTCGATTACAGGACCAGGAGGTGTTGTCTCTGTGGTTAAAAAATCTCCACTTTGAGGAATATCTTCCGCTATTTGTTAACTCAGGGTATGACATGCCGACTATCTCAAGGATGACACCTGAAGATCTTACGGCCATTGGCATCACTCGGCCGCAGCACCGGCGCAAGCTCAAGCAAGAAATTTCAAAGCTAAACATTTCAGACGGAATTCCCGGTAAGCAGAACAAAGTTTGCTAAGACATTTCCCCTCGTTTTTATTTGCAGCCAAACTTAAACAGGGCATAGATTCATTTAAAATCAACTTTGTCATTCTACATTGTTGGTTTAATAAATTAACACGGATGGATTATCACTCGACGAGACATAAACGGTATAACCCTAAGTAGTTTCTCGACGCAAGTGTAGATCTTCGGTATGCTTTAATTTTATTCAGCCTTTTTTCGAAGGCAAAGCTTTGAATATGTTTTCATTATAGATTTTTCGATCGTCAATACTTCTGTGGTGCAGAACGCCTGATTCCTGCACGGAGACTGTTAGTGAATTCCCTTTAGCCACTTATGTTTACATCATCTTCGCCGTACAGGAAAGGACATTGTATCAAACGACGAACGGCTGCCGAGCCTAGTCCTTCGAAATCTTTGCGTAGCCCACCATAGCACTGTTCTGTGGGGTTATTAGTTTTTAAACAACGGCGTCCCTACGTATTGATATAACCACATACTCGATAGCTATATATTTCCCCAGACATGATTTATGCGCATTTATTGAACTACACAGAAGCTAAGAAGGGAGGTAGTGACGGTTTGTAAAATAATTGATTGTGCCATTAAGTCACTGCTGAGCTATTTGCTGACATAACGTTCTTAGTCGATCATGGATCTGAGCATTGGTGTTGTGCAAAGGACCGACTTCGGGTCGACGCTAGCATGAGCGATACCGGCTGCAGCGGATTCTACGCCATCTTATGTCGTTAGCATCACCCCTCATGTCTGCCCTACGTCAAAGAAATTATTCGGTTTCGGCAGCTTTTTCAAAGCAAGGCGACTAACTGAGCGAAGATATATTACCTGAAGGGACTAGCAATACTCATACGCTGCGATTGTCATTGTTGCATCGTGATGCGCTTTGAGTGATTTCTAAGGAACTCGTTGAGGGTAGTAGGGATGAATAGTTAAGTAAAGACCTCGAGTCACTTAAACATTAAGAGCCATTAAAATGTAAACGGTTAATAACGTTGCGTTTTGAGTACGTTCAATGATTTTCGATTTATTCCTGTCTTTGTTATTATGATCTAAGCATTTTTAGAACAAATATTTCCATGTTCTTAGCTTTTTTTCTATTGGAATTATAATAGGCGATACGAACAATGTCGTAGCTATCGAGTTTTTTAGTACTGTTGATTTGTATGACATTCAGTTGATTTTGAACAGCCTTTAAATTGATCTTTTTTTAGCTCTAATAAGTCCGACCCGAAAGAGTCTTTAGACCAACGCCAGCTACGCTGCGATACTATTTGTTGATATGAAAGCACCGGCTCCCTATGGCACCCTACTTGTTTCACTGCCTCATGCCGTAGGCTTTTCCAACGCGCAGTGAAGCTGATGCGACGCCAATCCATTATTACCGACACAAGCCACGTTGGTAGATTTTTCTTCGATGGGCTGGCCGTGGACGACAGATGACGAACGAGATGTTGTAGCGTGCTTTGCTGTCGATGGTGTCGTGGGGCGGAAACGCACTCGCGCAGAACCACTACCCTTTGCCTGTTGGCCGCCTTACCATGCAGTTCTCTCTTGTTGGGGTTCGATTTACCACGCCCCGTGGCGGACGATATCGTGGGGCGATGTGGCGCAAACCCCTCTAAAGCGTCCCAAGGGACCCCTAGGAAATGTTTAACGTAGCGAAGGTGTCGCCGTTTATTTAGGTTCAATAGCATCTAACAGTCTTCCTGTTAGATCCGTCTGGCAGGCTTTGCCCCATTGTTGGATTAGGCACTTTTTCCGCGAGTCAACCCAGCGAACAAAAATTCAGTGGGCCAAGCCACGTAGTAGATCATGGCTGACTTCGATGAGCAAGTGTTTCCCAGCAAGGTTCAGAGCGTTCCGTCGGGAACACCCTTCTGCGTCGAAAATCCGTCTTGACTCCTAGCTGATAGTAAAATAGACAGAGAGAAAACAAATAAAGAAGCTAACTTGGAGAGAAGCGATGAGCCGCTTAAGTCAGAAAGGCGTAATTTAATCCTTACCGTCTTTGCGCGTATACGGGATTAGCAAACAGGCTACAACCTATCTGTGATAAGGTAAAATATGCCCGGTAGAGCTGGGTGCGTAATTGCGACGCCCAGACAATACAACGTATGCGTATGAAAAGTTTCACGAGGAGGTGTCGAAAAGTTTAGAAGCATAAAAGAACTATGTGAAGGTGGGCTGTGAATCTAATTGATTCTAGATAAGAGAAGAAATGATCCAAGCTCATTAAGGGAGCAAACGGACGGAGTAATGAATATACTATAGTACTAATTAATAACTACTGCACATGAATATTTGTAATAATTATACTTATTGTTTTCTTTTCTCTCAGACCAAGCTGCGAAGGCACACATTCAAGAAATGATCACCTCAATCACAGGAGACGCTACTCCACGTTGGTCCAACGCCTTAATTGATTTAGTTTCGAATCATCACTCAGTTAGCAGTTCTCTCGCCTCGAATCAATCGCCATTGTTCTCTTCGCCATGCCTCACTTGTATTGAGGCCTATTTTTACCTATCATTTTATAAGCACCTTACGAGGGTAACATACATCAGCATGTATCGAGCGACAGTATTAAGTTTCTGCTACTACCAAACGCTCCTTTATTGTTTGCCTAATCGGCTTTTGCTGACAACGTCTATCAGTGCTACTACAGCCTCACAGACTAAATTGGACCTATCGTCATGAATGATAGACAGCGATGCTTCTACACTCCAAGCCGGTAAAGGTAACGAGACAAAGAGAAAAAGAAAACATTGAAGAACATTTCTGCTCGACTTCACACTTCGAGGACGCTCACTAGTTTTACCTTCGCCTGCTTCCTAAGTAAACCGAAGGTAGCAAGGATAAGCGGCATATCTTCAACAGTAGTTGCAACGATGTTGTGGGGACGGAGGAATAATTACAAGCAACCTATACCAATGACAAGGGGGTAGTTAGATGTTTCTATGAAAATCAAGATGACAATGTTTCTCGTCAATGTAAGGGCCTCGATGTTAGGATCCTTTAGAAAACCAATGTCAGTGAAGGGTTATGGTGTAGCTCTGTGATTGATAGCAAACAGTGTTAAAGTACTGAAATAAGTATAATGTTGTCCTGGGTTAAATTAGAAGAGACTAAATATGTCTAGAAAACTGGGCATGTTGGCAATCGAGTGACAATGCGCGCCGAAGCTACCCAGGAACTGGTAATCTTGGATTGATCACCTGTGCTAACTGATATACATTCAATTTACTCCGGTGTGAAGCTCGTAAAGGCTTATAGGCTGAACCCCCGTTAAGGCACGACATAACAAAAGGAAGTTAGGTAGCCACCAACTTAATCTAACATAAATTAACAGTAACAACTATAAGACGCACATATTATCAGTTATGCTATTTCCCCTAATTAATAATATCGTTCTATAAAGTATCAAAGAAAATCGTAAATGTACACCGTTCACAGATCGCGACGTGTGCGGTGACTATCATAAATTACATTTATTATTACGCCAACCAAGTAGCTTAGGAGCTATTGAAATGGCAGCATTTAAACAGTGCTTCTTTAAAAAGATTTCGACACTCGCTTGTAACAATAATAATTTCGAATTTGGATAAGTTACATATTTCCTATGTCGACATGTTTCACTGCTCTGTATAGATAAGAGCAGGGCTTTGCTTAACGCTGTTGTTGGTGGCACAAGAAAGAAGGAATCATATCAGTATATTTGTCAAAAACCTTTAATTTAGAGTCGTAAAAACTCATTCATTCTGAAGGAAATACCAGTTTGAGACTTCATTGTCACGTAGTACTACGAGATGGGTTTACATGGGGCGGAGATTACGCCATATATACGTATAGCCTTTGTCTTGCATAGCTCCAGCTTGCCCTGTGTATCGCCGTTGCTTGGATTTTTCGTAGGAGAAATTAAATACTAAGAACTGCGAGTAGAAAACTCTTTACTAGCTAATGAGATTACAATATTGCAAAAACAATAAATGAAATCTAATTTTCCGCGAAAATTTTTTTCAGATTACAAACCAGATAATCTGTTATTATGGCTCAAACTTCTTCGACTCGACGAGTACGCGCCAGCATTGGCGGCCCAAGGATACACGAGTATTGACAAGCTTGTTGCAGAGCTCGCGTGGGAGGATCTTGAAGAGATCGGCATTTTGAAACTCGGTAAGTAGCGTTAACATAGCCTGATGCGCTGGTCAAGCTTGCCAAAAATCCTTGCTTATTAGTAGATCATAGACTAAGTACTATCTATCTCGAATTGGAAGTAGCAGATGCTGCAGACTCCCCCGAGCTAGTGCAATGATTATGGGTTTGTCTACTATTAAACTTAAGAGTACGAGAGGCAACCAGAGCTAGAAACCGACTGTAGATAAATGTAAATAATGTATTACTATTTAAATAAAGTGTAAGGGGAATAAACTTAGTAAGTGGATCAAATGTAAAAAAAAAAGTGAGAAAAAGGTGAGAAGTGTTATTTCTGTATACTACGCTTGGTAAAAGCCAGCGATTCGGACGCTAACATTTGTATCATTCAAGTCAACGAGTTGCGCAGTCAAAAAAACATATGCCGTTCGTCACCCACCAAGTAATTGAATTGTCTAATCAATATTAGAGCCCATGCCATAGAAACCATTTATATACGCAGAGAAATAAATCTAACGCTGTCGGCAGATATTCACTGGGCAAGAACAGTACTATAAAAAAAAGTACAGGCCCTTACCCCCTAATCCATTCACATCGTTCATGGTCTTTTTCATCTTGTTGATAACAACAAATAACCGTTTGTCACCGTAATAATACAGCTCGGGACTTTTCCCATTCCACTGGGTGTAATGTATGGTACTCCCGCTTTCAATCATTGCAGATCCATTTAGCACAATTGTATGTTCCTCCATCCTGTATAATCGTGTGCCGAAAGACAATAGTGACTAACACAGATACACATCGCTTGGAAGCCATTTATTAAGCAAAAGAGCTGCTTCTACATAGGGACATAGGCAAAGGGAGACTAGAGGCTGAAGTGAGTATGCTATTGTTTTGCTACTCGTCTTTCTCTCGACCTAAATCTGGAAATGGGGAGGCCCACGCAGGCCCTTGAAGGCCCTTCACAGAGCCTTCGCCAACTTGGTATGGTCGTAGTAGTAACATACAATAGTAGGTTATACTTTGCTGACAGATAGAAGAATTGAGGGGCCGCTCATTGGCGCAGGTCGGCCGTCTAGGCCAGCGCAAAGGCACCACTGCACAACTTTCACAGATGGACAAGGACTCTACGGAGTGAAGGACGCTATGATTGAGAGATTCGGAACAATCAAGTATTGGCCGTTCGTTGTTAACGAGACGGCACAAACCCGCAGAACTCATATGGGTCCGTTTCCTCGACGGTTACGGCCGTTATATTAGATCGGGTAGGACTGTACTCGAATCATAATGATAGAGAGTCGTCCAACGGAAAGCGATGAAGCAGGTGCAAAATAGCATATGGGAATAGAAAGCTGGTTCGAGAAAGGACGGATTTGAATAGGTCGAAGGGTGGATCTTTCTTGCCTGCTCTGCATCGTCTGGGTACGTGTAGCAAAGGAAAAAAATGAGATATAACAGGGTCACTTTAGATCATCGGGCGTGGAGAGAAAGCGAAGGAAGCTACTATAATATAGATAGAATTTGATGTATTCCAGAACAAGTTTGATAGCACATTCATTGCTGGGTTGATGTGAAGTTTAATTGAACACATTATATTTCGCGATGTCAATTATTTCAGGACATCAAAAGAAGCTGATGCTGGCGATTAAGAAGGTGAAAGGCCAGAAAGGTCTGTACGGATCGCTTCCGGGAGCTGGTCAAAGTGGTGGTGTGGGTCAGTCGCTTGGGAACAACAACAATAACAATCAAACGCCGATCATTGTGACACGTCACCCGAGCCTTGACATGGGCAATCCCCATGCAAGACCTATTACTGTCCGTAAGTATAATATAAGACAGGTTAAGTTGTTGTGCATAGGGGAAATGCATTCGAAGGGTGCTTTAGCTTTTTTTAAATAAATTACACTTCATTTTAATGACACTCTAAACTTTTAATGCCATTAGTTTTTTTAGTCCTTATCTTTTTAATTAATTTACTTAATTTTTTTTGACGACTTTGCTTACTCTTACGCAAGAACAGGTGTTAAAAAATATTTCTTCGGTGAAACATCAAAAATACGCTCCCGCCAGAAGGTCTAGCCGAAGTGAATTTTGCTGGAGATACGTCTATGCTTCGATCACCGTTATGCATTCGATAAGACAGACGGCTGGCTGGCTTCCAGCATGAAATGAAGTCTGTCTATAGCCGGGTTTCGAACTTAGATCACAACAAAAATGCTGTACATGTCTTATTTTTTTCCGATAGACCGATGAGACGGCATGGCAATCACATGCTATCATAACTATTTGCCAGCACTATAATTTGAATCAACGGTGACTGCACGTTCATGACTACCATGACAACGCACTCCATAAGATGCCTATTAGCTATTCAGGCCACACTGCCCCTACTTCTTCTTGCCTGGCAACTTAGTGACTCCATGACGTCAAAAATCACCTCCATAGCTTAGTTCAATGCCATTATTAGCAACGTAGCACCCTCGAGAAACAGATACTTAATAACTAGAGTTGTTAGTCAATATTTTTTGAACGATCGAAGGTATCAATGAAACTGTGCCATAAGCAACTCAATTACAGACGGTAACGATAAATATAGAATAAAGCAATGCAGCCTTTATAGATTTTTCTTTGTTAAGCAGGACTGACTATAGTAAAATGTCATCATATGAACGTCTCACACTCACTTCTCTTCGTTTTCGTCCCATTTTTATAGCGGTTCCTCCGAACCAGTATGAGGCCCTAAATCAACCCGGCCGTATGGTGAGCTTCTTGAATAATCGCGGCGGAGCCTTGCGGACTGTAGGCTCAGGGAGCGACCTTCAGCGTATGGACAATGAAGACCAACAGCTTTATATGGCCCTCGAACTCAACAATCAGAAAAACCAGCGAGCAACCGGCCGGTCGCTTGAGTCCCTGCAGAATGACATGTATACCTATCAACAGTAAGTTTCTAAAAGCTCGAAACTTTTTCGAACTTATTAGCGGAATTTAAGCAGTTTTCAGTTTGAAAATTTAAAAAAATAGCGGTGGTATCCTGAATCTTGACTTACAAGGGCACCTCGGCTGTTTCTTGAAGGCACTCTAAACCCCGAAGGTTTTAGTGATTTGCAAACGAACCTCATGTGAAAACATGGCTATGCACAGTTTAGAACGAATAAGCTTTATTTTCCCTTTTATTGCAACCACACAACAGAAAAATTGCTGAGAAACGTTTGCCTTTTTTATTCGATCTTTAATGCGATAGTACTGTTCGAATGTGATGCCCGCTAATATCTGATTGCCATCGCTTTCAGGCAAGATTTAAACGGTGGCAACAATTGGCGAGCGAAGCAGTTCGATCACCAAATCGGCACTTCTTATGAACCTATGGAGGGTACTGCGACGCTGCACCGTCCCCGTGGCTTGGTCAAACCCCGACCTGTGGCTAAAGTAACTGGAACATCAACGACTTCGCTGCGAGACACGCTCAGTGATGAAGACGCGGACGCATTGTCAACGAAGGACACGAGCAATTTGAAGGGGAGCACCAACGGTCAATCGACTAACGTCACGACCCCTGGCGCCATGTCAAAGCGTATTTTGGCACCGCTTCCACCCGCAAAGCCGCCCCTGTCTGCTGGAGTGGTCAGCGTCGTTGGCGTCGCCGCACCCGGCAGTGACGCATTAGCCGACACAGCGTTTGCCACATGCGTCCAGTCGCTTACGTCCCGTTTTACCTTAGCGACCCTCGGCGGCGATCGGGAGGACAAAGACGAAGCTCTTCCGGCGGTGCCGCCGCCAATGAATGCAACGCTGAGGAGCATCTCTAAAATCAACCAAATTGCCGCCCAGTCACAGACTTCAGTTCAACAACAGAATTCAGTTCAACAGGACTTAGAACAGCAACAGTCTCCGCCAGGAAGTGCTGCTAATTCTACCGGGAAACCGTCACATCGGGGAAGCGTCGAAGAGATGAATAAGGTATGGAAGGTCGAAATAGTTTTAGCATCAACACTGGACCAGAGGCAGAGAAAGCTGTGACTCTAATGGATATTCGAGAAAGCGCAAACTGCTGACTTAGGTCGCGCTTCAGTAACAAATACCTCGATGTGATGAACTTTGCCTGTGAACGAAATTTACACATTAACTGAAGTAACAAGAAACGCCAACAAAGCTGAAGGAAATGTATCGGTGGAAAATCAACACGACTCGAATTGACTCGATTCCGATGGGGTAACATGTATATGAATATAGATAGCCGCTTCAACCAGCTCCTCGGGGATTATTACGTGTAGTTACGTCGTGGTGTTGTTAGAAAGTCCTATAAAGTAATTGATGAGTTTACAGTCGTGGAGAAAAAGGACGATTTGTCCCACCTAGCTACTATGTATATGTTACAGCAATCGACCTAGAAATGAGACTTCCTGTTCGCCTATGTCAGCATTACACTAATTTCAGCAAATATAAAGACTTGTTTCTTCTTTCACGAGGCCACCACAAAGGACGTTAAGCGAAATGGGGAAGCCTGATCACATATGTGGTTAACTCGTTTCTAGGAACAGTATTCACCTTTGCTCTACATTTTCTTTGTCGTCCTTCCAATCTCTGCTCAACGCCAATATTTGGTGAATTGACGCCAAAGCGATTTATAATTACGCATATTAAAAGTTATCCTGATCGATTGTACGTATAGTACCTTAATATAATTGCTTAGCCGGATAAGCAATCCAGAAGTAAAATGTTCTATCTGATTGTGTATCATTGCAGCAGTACCGGTCTAGTTAGCGTAGTCTTCATCCATTCGCGTCTTGGTGTTACCCTCGTCACCATTATCCTACACTGGCGTGGTCACCTTCAAGCTTTGGTAGTTTACGCCTTGCGGGCCCCCATTAGATCCGCAGAAAACTCCTAGTAATCTCCTGATATGTTCGGGTACTGTTAATGCCCCTTCATTTCTTGCTATTGTTGGCGAGCAATTCTTCCTGTATCATATCTTTTGCATGGCGTTATATTCCATAACGCATCGACTAACCGGCCATCCATCCAAATAGGAAAGCTCTCTCGTCGTTGGTGATGATGGCGAAGTGGGATTTGCGGGAAGGAGTATCCCTTCTCTAGATATAATCTCTTCTTAGAGATTAGACGGGTCGATGGTAATGCAAGAAAATGTACCCGTTCGGAAACTCCAACTAAAGCGAAATGCCCTTCGAAGACAGAAAAAGGCATATCATGCAGGGACTTTGGACAGTCAGGAGTGTTTACAAACAAGCGTAGGGGCTTTAACAAGGGGGCCATCCTATAATCTAATCTGCTAAGTTGCCGTTTCGCTTGCTAGCAAAGTTGTTGTTCGACGTAGCGGCAGCTGCCTGATATAAGCTAGTACACGATATATCTGCGTATGTATATATATGTGACGCTAAGGGTTACTGAGCTATTACGCTTGACCGTGCACAAAACCCGATTACGTATTTGAGCCACGTATCAAATTATAATGACACAAGGACAGTCTCTTGGTACGAGCAATGGTACAGAATTACACAATATACGGTTTAATGTGCCAATTACTTGAAAGGCAACTGTATCGAAGGAATTTTCAGGAAAAAAACATCTGACTATATCCTGCAATGGCTAGAATTTTCCTGTTCTCATGATCTGTATAGCCCGTTAAGTTGCGTCAATTATATTTCGGTAATAGCAATATCACGACTCCTTCCTTGATTCTTCCATGCAACGTTGTTCAAATTGACTTTGTTTTTCATATTATTACAATGATATTACACAATATTTTGCCAGTTACCACTGCTGCCCTCGTACGTCAGCTGGTCTTTATTAGACGATACCATTAAGACCTAATTATATGAAGTCTTTACAACATACGTAGGGTCAAAATTTGTTGTTAACCTGTTGCTTTTATTATTTATTATAGGCAAACATGGTAGCGATGGCTAATGCACAGCAGATGACTGCTGGACTAATTACTGACCGACAAGAGCCTCCCTCGCCACCGCAGCGAGACTATCCCGTGACGCCAACAGGCCGCGATCTGGACCAACGTCGCTTGTCTTCAGGTGACAGCAGTAGTTCGTCTAATAGCAATAGCAGTCATACTAACAGCGGCGACAGCGCGATCAGCAAGGTCCACAGCAACGATAAAGTTAACGGAGCGCAAAGCTACCCCTCAGCTACACTCCATTCCCCGGCGAACAGTATTATAAGTCAAGTGAAAAGGCAGGGCTCAAACTCGAGCTTGACGAGCGACTGTGGGATTCCGTTCGCCAACGAGAACGTTGGTACAATCAAACAGAAACCACCCCATCCGCCAACCCCCGACTACGAATCACCCCTACAGGCAAAAGCTTCTACCCCCTCCGGAAATCCTCTACTCACTAGCGCAGTATCAGTTGGCGCCACCACCGTGTCGACCAGCAACATTTCGAATGCAGCGAGTCCACCCCACCAACCGAACCCATTGTCTAGTACCTCATCCGCCGTCACATTTGAGATGTGCAGCACTCTTCCGCGCCGAGCGAAACCGGCCCCTGCGCCCGAGATGGGCGGCGGGGCCGCGTTGATCCCCAGCAGCAGTAAGAAGAGTTTCGCTGATTCGCCCCTGCTTCGTCGAAGCCAGTCGGCTCGAAGTCGAGAGCTTGCTCTTCCCGAACTTACTCCCCCACCGCCGCCAGCACCTCATCCGCCTTTGCCACCATTAGCCCTGATACGGGGAACTCCCAATTCCGTAGGGACGGTCGTCACAACTAATGGTCTCTCCGGCAGCAGCAGTAACAACGGTGGTATGCAGGCCTGTGAAACAGGTGGCGACACGCCGCACAAAGTAGCCGTTATCGATGACATTGAGCATATGCTGGCCAGCCTCACCGATCAGTTGGATGCAATGCTAGATCATACCGCCTAAGAATTGCGCTCATCCCTATCGCCAGTACTACAAATTAATGACGACTAAAAAGCAAATAAGCAAATCATGAATAAAGTAATTCTAATAAAGTATGTCTAGGGACGAATAAATTTTTTAGAACACAAACTGATACTACACCTGCAAATCACCTAAGAGCGACCCTTACACAATTGGTTTTTCTCTGTTAAAGGCATCTAGTGTCGCACTAGTGCAATAAGTAGGAAAAAAGATAAGGTTGATAGCTGTTTGGTCTACCTTCAGAATGGTGCCACAATATATAAAAAAAAAATCATCAATCGTTTCCTGAATTTGTGCTAAGGAAATTGTTTCCGGACGTTAAATTGCCAGGGGTGATAGTACAAGACTTGAGTGTTTTGAAGGCATGTGTTTCGGTAATCTATAGCGAGGTAATATACCTTTTCGATTATCGCCTCCGATAGGCAGTACAGAAGAGCACCAACAAACGGATGATTGATGAAATAGTGTATTTCATTTACGGCGCAATGAAAACGATGTGTTGTCTGTGGGTTGACGTAAAAAGCGTAGTTTTAAGCTATAAATAGTGCAGTGGTGTATCTTTCTATGATTAAGGATAACTTATAATGATCCAGGACGATGCTAACAACGACAACGCTGATCATGATAAGGATGCAGATGATGTTTCTGTCTTAGGCCAGACTAGTTCTGCATTTAACGGTCGCTTGCTAAATGGCAGGATACCTCATCGTGGGTTGCCCCACCCCTTGAAACCTTTATTGGCAACACGTTTTCTCCCTCTAACCCGTATCGTATTCAATCGATGTATAAAGTTTTCTGCACCATATGGAACGGCAGCGAGGGACAACAGTTTCGATTAACTGCATGTTTACTACTATTATTATTACTTTCCGGGAGAAGTTTCCGGGATTACCTGCAACGGCACCTGTGCAAATCAAAACGAATCCAGCGCAGGCTTCAGAATGTAACTTCATTCAGTAAAACAGAAAATACTGAAAGCCACATGTGAGAATCGTTGTAAAGTTAACGTATTGTGGAGTAATTACCAACACCGATCCATTCACACTTTTCCTAGGTGTGAACAAGTTATGAGACAGAATAATCTACTAATTTAATTTTCATAGTAGATTACCTTAAGCAATCGTTTTTGGTTTTCGGATCAAATCTTCGTTATCGTTATCAGTCTCGTTAATATGCAAATCGATGCGCCTAGTTAGATAAAAAAAAATCCGGTAGAGATAACATTTTCCAGAACAAGCTCATTAATTAACAGAGCTTCAATACTGGGCCAATATTAATCATGTCAAATGCTTGAACGGCGCACGTAAGTGCAGTCATTGTTATGGTATTGGGAAAAGTGCGTCACATCCGTGTCAAGCTAAATTAAACAATTATGTAGCACGAACATGTAGCCTATAGGTACGGCTTACTCTTGTAGTTACTATTTTCATTGTTGTGACATGTGTTAACGTAATCAAATTGTAGTACTGGAAGGAAACGACCTACCTCAAAATGTTGAAAGCAGTAATCCGTTGTTTAGATGTTGTGCGTCGTGGGGACAGGCAGCGGATATAGCAGTTGTTTACAACAAAACCAATTAACTGGCACTGCGAAATATTGGCTTCGAAGAAGAAGCCCTACTTTAAAAGCTAGAAGACAAATAAGAGCAGGACAATTTCTACATGTATTATGAGATATCTATTTGATAGTAAACGCACCCAAACACGGCTGCCTGTTGAGAGTTGTACAAAAATCACGTTAAATCCCTAGAAATTGCGTAGGCTTAAAGTGTTACGGGCTATAACAGTCGGAGGCAATGCCCAGCGGCAGTACCGAGCATAAAACATGTAGGTTATAAGCTACTAATCCAAGTAGATGATAAATGTAGAGAAAATCAGCTATCGAATATAAGGCAGGTAGCTCGAATAAATGTGGAAGGGCCACGGGTTAAGATAATATGAAGGGTGGGCTTCGCGAAAGGTGGGTCCTGCGATGAAGTGCTTCCAACGCGGTTCAGGTGTGAACAGCACCGCTATCATAACAGACCTGATTAGTCAGTCATAAGTAAGACGATTGTCAATATCATAAAATAAACAAGGTCAGGACCGAGAAATAAATAGGCAAAGAATCATAGAGGAAATATAAAAACGGTTAGAATATCTTTTGTAGTTTTATTGAAATTACAATTTTTTTTTCTATATGTTTCTCATCTTCGGTTCTACTTAGCTAACAGTAGATTTTCAGGGTTAGGCTGAAAGATCAAGACATCAATGGCGACGTTCTCAGCAACGTCTTTTAAGCATTCGTACAATTTAATCTATTTCTAAGAGTGTGTCTAAAGTAAAAATTAAAATAAGAGGCTCCTGAATAGAAACACAAATCCTATTTTTGTGTGTAACTATTATTTTCAATTTCATTATTTTTTTTGTTTGCTAGCAGTCATTCGTTTAATGTCTCGCCTCTTAGGGCCATCATATAGTCATCGTCCTGCTTGCTGCTCGACGTCGAACATATGGGAAGAGCATAAGAGGAACGGTCCTGACGGTGGCAAGTAATAACCAAAGTGACGGAGTCGAATAAATAGTTATGAAGCGAACAGAGCACCGAACATCCAACCAGGAACACCGTTGACAGAGGCGTACTGTGGCTGTTCCTGTTAAACCGAATACACCCTGCTCCGTTTCCCAGCCTACCCCCAAACCCTGCCTGCTATAACACCTCCCGTCCCCTTCTCCTTCTCCCTGAGGCAAAGTAGCTCACCGTTATCATCAAGAAAGACAGAGTGCATGGAGCCGAGGTAAAACAAGAGGGAGACGCGGCGCTCCGTAAGGAAGAAAATAAGTTTACAAAACAAGCAAGCTCTTTCCTATCCGCAGCCTCTTCGTTAGTTCGCGTTTAATGCGCAGTACTGATCTGCATAAATATAGCATAATGTCTGACCAAGTTAGCAGAAAGAACGGAGCGAGAGAGAGATAGATAGATAGATAGATAGATAGATAGAAATAGAGGGAGAAGAGGGATACGGAGAAATTGAGATAGAGATCGAGTCTGCTTTAGCACGCAGAAACATTGACGCAACTAACAACCCGTACGTAAAGAGAAATAAACAAACGGGCAAAGAACGCAACATCTTTGGTTCAAACAGAGACCCTAGCGTGGATTTCTTCATTCTTTCCGCAACCTGCTCTTGCCCCCCACAAAAAACATTTCAGAAGGATGTTTGTAGGAAATTGTAGAAAAGTATTATTTTACCCGTTCGAACGTACGGGTCCAACGTACATGTACCATAGTCACAAACGAGAGACGACAAAGCGAAGGAACCTATGTATAACGAAGTAAAAATGAGTATATAAACGAGCATTACATGCGCAGATTATACCTCGACAAAGGTTGAGAAAATCGTACAGATATGCCAATGAAAAAAAAAGGTTAGACGATTGATACTGTTCAACAAACAGCTAACCGATGACGCTTTCGTTTGATTCTATAGCAGCTTTACGACACAGACTGATGTTATCTGTCACTCAATAGAGGATGATATGAAAGCAGAACTAATAACACCACGAACTGTGTTGTTATGATCACTTTAAGTGCTCCTATAAGGATTACGTGTAACGTACAATCTAATTATATCGCGATAATTCTTATTATTAGTATACACCTGAGCGAATTTAGGGCGTAGCAGGTCCTTCGTTGAGTTGTGATAACCGATGTGAGAAATTCATTTTATAGCTGAAAGAAAAAGCGACCGTTAAAGTACGAAGTACCATCATAGTACCTACGTTATGGTGAATAATAAAGCCGGAGGGAAATATAGTTTTCCACAAAAAAGTTTTCAAATGTCCTTCACGCGACACGGGACATACAGCAAGGCCGAGCAGGTGAAGACAAGCCAGTGAGAGCTTAAGAAAAGGACATGTGAAGGAAAGGCCGCGAGTAGGTCATTGTTGACGGCGACATATTGAAATGCAAACATTGCTAAATATACGATTGACATGTATAGAGATGCATGGTTACGTTGATCTTCTCCGAATAATAGTAATAATCATCACGAAAATAAAAAGGATACAATTGTTCGAAGGCCAATTGATTAAGCGGGAAGCAACGATGGACTCGTCGCTTGGTAAGAAACGAACTTAGCATCCCCTCGCAGCCTACTCCACCCATTATAGATAAATGGTAATATAGTAATATATAATATGCATAGTCACTCATATCCGAGTCGATGCAGGTGTTTTGTAAATAAGAGGAACAAGTATTATTAAGGAGAAGCAACTTAAGAGATGATAGATATTTGCAGGATTACTATGTAATGGTGAAGATAATCATTATGATGATTATGGCAACAATTGATGTTAGTGCTATTACCTGTGGAAACTAGCAACCATTATCTAATATTAATATATATACATATAGTAATGAATATTAGGAAGAGCACGGTCGACCTTGGGTCAGCCATGACAGGTGGTAGTTTCTCATTTGTGGCTTTATACTATTTGTATGGAACTGGTGTTATTATTACAGATAACAATTATTATGTATAATTAATTTTATTACCATTATTAAGCTTTGCGACGAAAAGTTCACGGTGGTGACGATGAATGATAAAACTAACAATGGGTAAACAAAATAGCTAGCAGGCGTGCTAAAGAGCAGATTTCGCCATATTTAAAATACAAACATTGATAATTAACGGGTTGATTGCATTGTTAGAGCGATCTGTCTTGTCCTGCCTCTCCTCTCTGCAAGTACGTACGATACAGATATATTGTCATCGTGAGAATTCTATCGACTAAAATTGTAATTGTCTCTTTTCCTTTATAAGTACAACTCTTTATACATGGCACCCTTATACATTAGATGATGAAATGCTAGGACGAATCGGTGTGAGGCTCATACGATAATGGCGTATTAGGAACGTCGAAGAGAATCCAGTTCAATATGGGTTGTCGGTATAAAGCTAAACGTTCAATGATGAATCTAGGCAATGCAGAAGTGAAGAAAATAATAATGCCATCATACTGCTGTTAAAACGACAAGCGTTTAACGGTGACGTATACGACAGATGTATGGGTTAAGTAATGTGTCCGTTAAATAGGTCAAAGGCGGGCCGCGAGGGAACGATATAGACGATGGGAAAGATCCAACAGGATGTGGCAAATCAATAAATGTTGAAACGAAAGAAGGTGGTAAGGAACTAATGTTGCTGATAAGTCGAACAATGATTGCTGCGAAATAAAGAGTAATGGTATTATTGCTATCATATCATGAAACGCACTCCCTAATCGAATTCAAAGTAGCGCATCGATCAATCGGCAATAGCCAAACAGAAACAATCTACCATCCTCTCTCATAGGAACAACAATGGCGGATAGCAACAGTAACTGCAAGTTTCTTTAGGAAAATATACCAACGACGTAACTTGATCAAACTACTTACCTGCAGAGTTTATTACATCACAATATATTGTTATTATTATGTGAGGATAATCGAACTATTCATGTGGGAATCAGCAGGTACTCAATTTATGTACATACATACATACATACATACATACATACAGATATACCAGCACACATGCACAAAATGAAGCGAGACAACAAGAGCGCATTTCACAATGTCACGAATATTTAGATGATTACATGGCTAAAGAGAATTAGATTTATCTATAGATAATTAACTAATATTATATTGATAATAATCATAATGCGAATTAGTAACTGGTGTGAGGTTTAAATCGGTCAACCGGCCGGCTGTCTACCGAAAAATGAAACGAATCCGAAATTATAGAATTGAGCACGTCGACATTGCGTTACAAGATAAAAGGATGCAATCATACCCTCGTGCACGAGCATACAAAGACAACTGCGTATGGTGAGTCAAATAAAGGACACCACTACACCTCGCGACTTGCTATTAGATAGTAGACAGGCAAAGGTAATTTCTGGTCCAGCGGGTGGACGCATGGCACACACATGTATAACAGCGGGTTTCCTTAGAAGTACACATCGGAAACGGACATCGCCGGCAGAAACTTCAGCCTTGAAAAAAAGTAATTACTTCAACAATCGAATGAATTAATGGGCATTAACGCGAAGCAAATTATATATTGACAGCGAAATTGTATTGACTTTCCTCGAAGTAGGAATTGCTAGTGGAGATGTCTCAGACCGCAAAAGACACCAGCATTTCTCCCTGAGTTTGCTTCCTGAACTCTCAGTATAATAATGCCGGGATAGCCCGGGTATCTGGAAATTTTCAATTCGCCGTTATGAACATACACTATTGTCAATTAGACATTTTTCTGTGTATGCTTCATGAGAAATAGGTGACCATTTTTGCATTGTTTGGTAAGACGTCCTTCGGCGACTATCAAAATGCGCACCGGCATTTGAAATTCGATCAGCAATTCCTATAGTAAATCAAAAGAAGCAACGGTCACCAGCTTTTCTCACTTCAAATGTATGTATAGATAAAAGCAAACAAGGCTATACGCTGCTGTACCTATCATCGTTAGAGATGTAACAATGCACGAAAAATACCAGAGAATGAGTTATATAGAATGCGAAGTCACGTATACATACATACATACAGAAGGATAAATCTAATAAGCCATGTTATTATGTACCTTTTTTCTAATAAAATAAAATTCATCTCAGGAAAGGAAGCTCATATTCGTACAGACATCAAAACAATGTCACAATAGCAAGACTGAAATTGACAGAATTTTTCGATAGCTGATGAAATTTCGTACATTGATCTTCGTGTATGCATACAAGAATACCATAGAGCCAGACGAAACAGATACCGTTCTAACGAGCAAACAAAAGTTCAGCGTCTACTTCGGCGGAACGTACGACGAAACAGGCCACGTTACGTTCACAATGTAAGACGTACGCAAAAAATAAAAAGAGAATTATTAATAACGACAAGGCATCAAACATGATGAATTTCATCAATATATGGAACCCACATGCAGGAAAGGCCACAAAATGATCTGTTCATTACAGACATTACACACTATAAGTAGCATCGTAGTCGGCATGGGAAGTTCGGAGTTAAGTAGACAGTGAAAAAGTATCACAGGAACTGAAAAGCTCTCCGCTCGTACAATGCGGTCACATAATAAAAATATGCAAACCAACACCAAAAAAATGGAAACCGGCCGAGCGGTATCATCGAGTCGGCGTACCAAGTACCACAAGAAGAGATTTAAGTGCCCAACGTTAAATATGTACGGGACAAATGGTAAGAGCCAGAAGGTTATGATCATCTCAGTAGAAAGGAGACAAGCCGAACGAAACGATTGAGCTGAGATCTAGCGAAGCACTCACCCTGTACAAATGTACCTAGTTGAATTATATCTAAGTTCTCGATTAGAAATAAATATGAACATGTATTATAAGCTTTGTGATTTTTCCATGGCTAGTTATATCAGATTTGTCAGCTGTCATTGCTGAAAATCGGTACATGCATATGCGAAACAACTGCAACGAGCCTTTGTTTGTATACATCTTGTGCAGTTCCTGTATCAATGCTTACATTCTTCTATTTCCAGTTTCTAGATATTTTCGGTATTCTACACAGCGTTTTGTCCAGGACGTAAGAGGGCTAATCGATTTAAACCGATACGAGCCGACGCAACGAGGCCGAAGGGTTTGTCCGTCCACTCCCCTTTCCAGTTTTCGCGAAACCTTCTAGTCTTTGAATAGTATTTTTATGTACCAGGAGTAACGCGATATTATCGTGCTATTCTTAATGCTAGGTAATACACAACATAGTTCTAAGCTCGTTTCCAGGGTGAAATTTTTGTCTAAAGTGATAATAGCGTGTAAGAAAGCGTTTTGATGCTTCGAAACGAGTTGGATATTTTTGTCAAAGCTTCGTATTTATTGTTCGTACGGGCAGTGCTGTAGGCTGGATAAGGTCTTATCTTTCGACGATTATCTCGACAACGGCTGAATCGACAGATGGAAGTTTTTCTTAATGCGCAAAAAGTTCAAGCAGTTATTAGAAAAATAATCTTTGATTAAATTGACATAAATGCATTTTTCGGGTAGTTTTTCCGCTAAAAGTCCAAAGCACTTGTTCTAAAACGTAACACAATCAATCTCACCTAATAAATACAAACGAGCTGTCATAGGGGCGACGAAAACAAGTCAATAAATTTGAATCCACTCTCAGCTTTTGTGGCACCAAAATCGTTATTAAAAGCTATTTTTAAAATATGCTCCATTGCAACTGTATATATATATATATATGTTGCGTTTGTAGCCAATGTTATTTCTGCATCTGTGGAACAGTTGACCTGAACCGACATATGTAAAACTGTATATGCGGCCTTTTTGCTTTTTCTGTGGAAATCGACATATTTTTAAACAGCACGCAAACAGCTATCGGGGTATTGTCGACTCGACCGAAAATACGTTGAAGTAACACGTTCTATTGTAAAATTCGATTTTGTTTCGCTTGCATACATCACAAAATCCATTGCCATGCATTTACAAGACAGAAACCGTCGCCTATGCGTTATCCTTTCGCTGGTCATCGGCTTTACAAAGCACCGACTCGAATCTTCACTTCCAACTTGCCAACGAAACTATTTTTTGAATCTAGCTAATTAATAGGCCAAAATTTAGTTAGATAGCATAACAGCTCTGAAAGTCTGCTCATTCTATCGATTAAATTATGCCAGACATTCAAAAATATTAGAATCATTGATTGTTGTTTTGTCTCGGTGGATGTTTCGTATAGGAGTACAGTTCTTTGAACGAGTCGTCATCAGATGCCGTATCGAAAGGTCGACCACAGCCACCAAGCCTTCGCTTAGCCTCCTCGAAACGACGTCGTGCAGTGGCACTCTTACGCTGAGATGTCGTGACAACCGAATTTGATGGGCCTGATAAAAAAAAAAATGAATTTCCGAATTACCAAATAAAACTGAGTCGAGAACATTGATCGAAGAACCATTGTAGTACAATACATATTGTACAAGGACCGCAATGTAATTTTTTATGCTATTCGTTTTTGCTATCATCTACATGCTTATTTGCCAGTTCAAAGCCTATCATATTTTCAAGCTTTTTAATTCTCCTCATTGTCAAGCTTCACTCGTCCGTGGATGCTCGTAATCTTCGCAAATTTAACTTACAAACTAAGCTAAAGTCAAATTACTTTATTCACAAGTGATACACATTTGCCTCATAAACAATAGCAGTTTTAAGCCCGTTTCAATCAAAACATATGTTATATACATAGCATAGTCTGATTATTACGAGGTAGCAACATGCCAGGCGTTCCTACACAACATAAAAAATATACTAATTACTAGTAGTTCTTGAATGTTACTTCGATATTTGGGTAGGTAATATCGCTTACCCGCCTCGTCGCGTAACACCAGGCGGAACTTAGTGAGGAGATCGCCCAGCGACGGTGAATTGTCCTGGGAGGACGACGACGACAAATAGGCACCCAAAGGATCCAAATCGACGCAGGCAGCCTTCGCAGGAGCGGAACTGGTCCATTGTTCCTGTTCCAGCTTCACGGTTAGCGGTCCAACATCAGGGATGAGGATCCCGTCACCGAGGCCAACGGAACGATGCGGCCGAGTAGCATCGATGTTTTGATCACTCTACAGGATAAAGTCGAAGATACGATGCAAACGCATAAATAAAGATACAACAAAAGGAATAGAATGTCTAACTTTTTTTTTTAATTTTGTTAAAGTTAATCCAGTAACATAAATTCCATATAATGTTAGTGTACAGCTGGCTATAACTATCAATCGTTTCCTAAATGCACTTTTAAAACAAATACCATGTATCCGTATAATCTTATACGATATACTAGAAATATAAAAAGTTTAAGTAGAAATAAGAACAAAACCTAACGACCTAGCTCCCAGATAGGAAGTTATGGATATCTATGTATTTATCTTAGCTAACAAGAGCTAGATATCCGGTAACTTGATTACACTGGAATAAAGAATAATAAGCTAACATGTAAAACAACAGCATCGCAAAATAGCATAATTTAATCTATAAGCACTAGTTATTAGTAAAGTAATAGATATTGCAATTTGGTGTGAACTAGGTCAATAGAGCCTTGAGAAATCGTTTGAAGACCTAATCTGAAACCGAATTTTTAAATACTCATGCGGCATTTTGCTATCGTCGTATGGGACTACTCGAACCGCCGTGCTCCATAGCTAGTCCATATAAATCAAATATAAAAGCTACGAATTTTCAAAACGTTTACCAAAGTTAAGTACTAAGTAAGACAAATGTACTTCTCGTTCTGATTGACTAGTAATTAATTCATTGTCAAACTCCCCTTACAAGTTAACCACCAGACTCTTGACCGGTAAGTCATATGATATCGTTATAATTTCTAGAAAAGGTAAATGAATAGCTTAGATAAATACATAGCTAGGCAAAATGTGTAAAGATTTCTCTCTTCCTATCCTACACCTTACCATTTCTGGCTGAACCTGAACGGCCAGCTCAATTCCAGATGGTTCATTGTGCGTTTGTGTCTCAGCGTTTTTTCGCAAGGACAAGTTTTCCGCGACCTTAAAAACCAAGAAGTGGAACTATGATTTATACAATTTAATGATACCAATAATCATTGGTTCCCAAGGTCACACCGGCATTGTTGCCTACTATGGGCTACAGACATTAACTGATTTCAGCCTTACAGGTCAAAACAAGCAAGTTGATAAAGTCATATAACGTAGCAAATTTTGCTTTTGCTGCCATTAGAACGAAATAATAACATAGGACAAGTATAAGCATTCATGTTGGATTTTCTATGTTAAGATATCGGGAAACACCGATCCGAAAAGCAAAGGTCAGTATGCACGGAAGATGCTCCCGCAAATTCATAAATACACAGGTAATCTCTTATGTAGCCAGCGTAAAGGATATTTGCGTAACTAGCCTGCTGGACTAGCGCCAAAACGTCCTTTTTCCTCTTGTCTGCCTCGAAACATCGACATGGCGTCTCCTGTGCCGCTTGGACTGCGTATTTTCGCTGTTGCTGAAACTTCAGCACCTTGATTAGGTGCTCCTGAAGATTCTCCAACGCATCAAGATACTCAACAATTGGCGCAGTCATCTGCGTAGAAGCAACGTACTCATCAACGGCCTTCTGGAACAATCGAGAATATCTACAAAATATAAACAACATAATAGCATAAAACCTGTTAGATGGAAGCATGCTTGTATCATATTTGAAGGTTGGTGGTCTCGGGCTAATTGTGTCAAAATGATAAGTATTTTGACTTATATTCAATAAATCGTTCAACTAATTATTAAAACGAGAGATTATCGTCAAGACATATAGACAGATATTTACGGTAATAGAATGATTGAATAGATTACCTGAGGGCTGTCCTACGCTTATCCGCCCGCCCAGCACCTTGAAGCAGTGCGTATTCGCAACAATTTGCTCGCATTTCGTTTGTTAGCCGTCGAAGATTTGCACGATGTTGAACAGAGATCTCTTTGGCGCCTAACCGAAGCCTGAAGGCAACAATGTCAAGCTGTTGTGTATGAAGCCATTTTCTTTAAGTATACAAACACTGTAGTGAATTTGCCAAATAAACATCTTGCTGAATATGTGAAAATCCTTTGTATGCTGTTAAAAACGAAAAAAAAAAAAAAAAAACTCGCATGGCATTCCGTACAAATTAATTTTCTCATATGTCATACGTTGATAAACTGTCTTTGTCGGACGGCCGCTTTTTCTCGAAATTAAATTTTCTTTAAATTGTACTAGTTGCAACACCTGGTTTCCCTAAAAGCTTGACCCTGGCAGTACACTTCGTTGAAGTGAATTGATATATGCGTAACAAATACCCATGACCTGTTTCTCAAAAGAGATTAAATTTTAACTTATTAATTACCGTCTAAAGTTATTTTTAATTTGTACATAGTTAATATCAATAGTAAACAAAAGAGGGAGAAACAAGATTCGCCGTGTAAATGCTTTGAGTCTGTATTGTACCTCTGACGTACAGCCTGGTCCCTGCTCAAACGCGCTAAGGATTTGTCAATGACATAAAGTTCTTTAAATGTTTAATTGTTTAACAATATAGTATAAATTAGTATTATTTGCGAATAGCGTATCATAGTGACGACCTGACGGCAACTATTGCATTGTGTTGTTGATATTGTTCAGGCTTGTCTACGGACGTCCGCCATCTATGTGTATCGATAGCATTTGTGAATTTCATCATAATATCTCACGCTGCTGACTAGATTGATCCAACGTACCTCTCCTCTTTAACAAGCCACACACATTTTTCGAGCTGTAGCTCAAGAAGTTTACTTTGCTTGTCCATCGTAGCGAAGCTCACCAAGCCAATAATAGACAGACAGAAAATGTGCGTGAAGCAATTCTGCTAGAAGAGATATCACGCACTATTAGTTATTTGAAGCGGCGGGCAAATGAAACAATTCCAGACAGTATAGCTAACCAGTATCGCTGTCGATAAGTCCATGGCTCATAACAGCTAATTTTCGACTTGCTCCAGCCCATCTGAAGGCACTCTTCTTTACGCCAACTTAAAATTTGATACGAATTTAAATTCGTCCATATGGCCTCTTGCCGAATAGAAATTATCGCGCCTTGACCGCAAACAACATGACGCAGCAAACTGTCATGGCCGAACGGAGCCACGCGGGTCCACCAAACAGCCTCCACAAAGTTACTCGCTTTCGTAGCTACTAAACAAAATACTGGAACGTCTGTTTAGCATAACGTTTTTTATTCATAGATCTGACGTCACTTTCAAGAAGCGAATTGTCGACAATAAGCCCCGACGTGGTCAGAGTCATGGCTTAAGGCAAAAATCACGTCATCATTGACTACGACCACCATCTAACACTGCTTATTGTTTTGTTGTGCTTTGGCTGTCGCATAACATCGAATTGAGCGTTGACTGTCGGTTCAATCGAACGGAGCATAGTCACGACGGACTCGTGTCTGGACGGTGCAGGTGAAAACCTTTATAAAGTAAGTTGTTTTTTTTTCAATGTAGATTCGCCGATCGGTTACGTTTGCTATGCAAAAGAAAAGCTTGCTACAAGAGATTGCAAACCGCAGAACGTAATTATTTATGTAGGAATTCTGGCCGTACGATTGTGCCTCAGAGACGCATAGTGGTGATATTTTATTGGCTTATAGAATATCTTCTAGTGATTTCATAATTCGTCTACATTTCATACAACATATATAAATCTTGTTTCGTTTCTTGTTTCCGAGCTCGCCCGAACCAAAACTGTATGTAAATGTACCATAGTACTACCACTACCACTACCACTAATCAGCCATTACAAACCGGAATTACTCAAAAGCTTAGTAAATTTTTTTGAACTCCCATCTTACTCCGATGTTTGAAATTGCGGTTGATGTGGTTGGCGGGTAACCAATTGAGTGCAGGCATTTTCTAGTAAGCGAAATTCCCTTTTTTCTCCCTATAATAAATGCTTCTTTAGGCAAAATGACAACGGCAGCTCGACCAACGTTCGAACCAGCACGGGGCCGTGAGAAAGATCTCGGCGCCCTCTCGAAGCAATATTCATCCCGTGATCTCCCAGCCCATACAAAACTAAAGTATCGTCAAAGTGGCCAGGGCGGACAGGACGATGTCCGTGGACGTGACTTCCGTAGGTAGGGGCAGTGTTATAGTTTCGCATTATATTTTCACTTTTTCTTGTTATCTCTGTTTTAATACCATAAGGAATGGTAATGGGTACACTTAGATGTCGAGTATTGTCCTACTTTGACAACTAAATTGTAAAATAATTGATGTTGTTTATCGTTAGCCCGCATCTTAGTTCATATTGCATACGGCTTGACTATTGCGTTTTCTGGTGTGAGATCGAACTCGAAAATGGTGGCATTTGTTTTTTTTAGATTGTGATAGTTTTTTTCTCCATGGAGTATAGAACTCACTGAGCTGATTGTAGTCGATATTTGGTCGTCATCGGATTAACTTTTTGCCGCACAGATGAACAGCATATTGATAAGAGAAATAAGCTTTTGCTCATATGCTGTTTGTTGCTAGTACAACGAACTTTTTTTTATTTGCACCACACCAGACATTGAAGAGTTCCTATGCGCTAACTTGCTATATCAGATATTTTCACTTTTACCGAAATAGCATTTAGATAGCTCTCCATATACTTAACCTTGCCATTTTATCGTCCGATCGTACATCTTTTTTGTATTTGTATTGTATGTAATGTACAAATATTGTATAAATATTTGTAATTTAACATTGAAGATCTTCTGATTGCTGTAAATATCAAAAATATCTTGGATTTTATATATCTTACTGCCGTTATATATAGAATCAAAATGATAGGTCCAATCCAACACGGAACGAACTGTGTGTCTACGCCTAGTTTCAAACCTAGACCAGCTCAATGAAATATTCTTGAATTAGTGTATTTCCTAACTGCTTAACTGTGTCATACTAACAATGTCTACTCCTCACGAAACCCTATCCATATTCTCCGCTGTGTTTACTAATATTAAAAATAATCTTGCGCTTTTCTATAAATTTCTTGCTTTGTCACACGCTTGAGGGAGCTTGAGGAACGTGAGGATCGCGAACGCAGCGGAAAGAAACGCCACAGTGATTCGCGCGGTGACCGTGATCGTGATCGGGGCGATCACCGCGAATACCGCGAAAGAGATCTGCGTGAACGTGAGATTCGCGAGCGGGAAAGACAACAGCCGATCGCTGTGGCGAGCCTTGACGCCGATGAACCAACAAAGGACTCGTCATCGGAGGATGATAGCGATGAAGAGGACGATACGGCTGAGCTGATGGCGGAACTAAATAGAATCAAACGACAGCGACTTGAGGAGGAACAGCGTCGTGAAGAAGAGAAACGCCAAGAAGATGAACGAATTCGAATGGAGAATATTCTTTCCGGGAATCCTCTCCTTCAAGCATCATCAAATAAGGACTTCAAGGTAAGAAAAAATGTATATGTTGTCTATCGTAGCGGGCATCTGTTCTACTGACACTTTTGGTGGCAAGAAAAAAGCCAGTTTTCATTTGGACCTAAAGGGCTGAGTAATCCATCAAAGTAGTTCAAAAACCATTTTTGATACACCTGGGTGCTTTATTTAGAAATTAACATTATTTTCGGGAACGGAGTATTAATTACTAACCTCTACTGTATTTAAAAGCCGCACTTTTTGAGCCTTTTGAGACGGGCAAACCTAATACAAAATATGCTGTTTTTGTAAAAGCGATCTAAATTTTACAACGCTTTAGACCAATGCAGTCGTATTGTATGAATTCAATGTAATATGTTAGGATCGGTGCGCCTGGTCGAAGACATTGCTCAGTGATTGATAGCACCTGAGGCATATCTGCATCTGCTACATCTTGTGCAGACACACGTAGCCCCTGGGCAATGAACAGTCGCGGTCCCATATATGATACGATGAAACCCCATGTACTGCAAAACGCTTAGCTATGTGTCGCTTCGTTCTATCCAGCCCTTTCTGTGCTTCATTAATCAAAATTCCCGTATTATATACGTCAGAATCGATTTCCGTCATGTTTTTCTTATGTGCTGATGAATTCCGAATAGGCTGGGGTAATGGGTAGCTCGCAGATCCTCTACAAAGGGTTTTGTGTCGCCTAAAAAACAAACGACGCCAGGCCCTTAGTCAGAACAATCCGGAATTTTAAGGCTAATATAATTGAATGAAATTTTATCCCAAATTACCTAAAGACGAAGAGTAGTTATGTATTTATTGAATGCAGCTACCATGCGTATGAGAGTCAGATAGGGGAAATTATCGTCATTATAAAAGTGTTGTTGCAATTAGTAACGTAACTTGGCTTCGTGTGTTAATTGCAATTTTCTTTTTCGTCATTATTATATTAGGTTAAACGTCGTTGGGATGATGACGTGGTGTTCAAGAATTGCGCCAAAGGCGAACCGGATAGTAGTAAGAAGGGTTTTATCAACGATACCCTCAGATCTGCGTTCCACAAAAAATTTATGGAAAAGTACATCAAATAACTACAAGGAACCACTACCGTAATAGGAAGCTTGTGGCGATAGGATACGGCTTTAGCGTACAGCTATTGTGTTTTCGTTGCGGCAGATCATCTCATTTCTATAAGAAGTGGCCCTGAGGTGTTTTGTTAACGCAACGCGAAGACTTGACAAAGGAGTAACGTATTAACAGTCGGGGTGGCACGGCACAACACAACGTTATGGACCGTTCTTGGCCCAGTAAAAAGCTGTTTATATTGTAAATAGATTTAGGAATGACACTTGTATTCCATAATACTGAATAATAATAATAATATTAAGTCCAAATAACACAATTAAAACTTGTGTAGTTATTGTACCATGTACTCTGATTTCTATTTCTTTTGAAGTAAAATATGTTTAGCGAGAGCAGGTATGTTTTGTTTTTGCAGGTGTATATGAGGCTGTTCTAGTAAGTGCTTTTGCAATTTAACAATTGGGAACGAAATAGAACATTGTAAACGCAAAAAGATCAACTCCAAAACAAATTTGAAGCCGTCACGATTTACTAGTGTGGGCCAGAATCTATAAGATTATTAGAGTAAACAATGCACAATGTGAGAAACTGTGACAACAACTTATCGTTCTCAAAATATGTTTTAGATATTTCGAAGATACTTTTGGTAGCTTTTTCTTATTTTAGCAAACGAAGTGTCAGGCCAACAGATGCTTAGTATAAGAAAAATGCTAAATAACTCAAGAGAGTTCGCCAAAATGTCAAAATGATAAGAGAAAAAAAAGATTGAATTTGCAATTAACTCCTTTTTGTTCGCTGATCCCTATCCACGCGACAACAGCAATACACTGAGGCGCAAAGAGATAAACTCTCTGCATACACGATATTGTATTTTAATAGAAAAGCCCAAAAGGCCTCTTAGCCTAATATTAACAACACACATGTTAAATTATGGTCTTGAACGGAACAAAAATTTATTTATTTTTTTTTTTGTTCTAAATAGATACAACGCTATAAATATGTTGTTGGTTAATCGTAGCTGTGCTGTGGTCTGCCTGAAGTTACCATTGGTCAAAGTGTTTTTGTCTGCCATTTCCTGTTCGCATTCCGTCTATAGCCGTTCATCATGCTTGCTTAGGCATGATGAATACAGGACCCCTCTCTGCAGGACCGGAGCTAGCTGGGAGTCGTTGACAAGTTCTGGCCGGTTGTGCTATTGTTGAATCCGAAAGCCAATTTGTTTTGGTTGATCGCCTTAGTGAAAGGGAACGACAAGAGCACGTTCAACAGATAAACAAGGAATAACAATGGATAAGCTTAAGGTAATCAGTAAGGGGTATTGAGGAAGTGCATAAGGGAACTATGCATTTTTATACTAAACTTCTTCAAATAAAATCGTTGCCGCGTAAAAAAATGAAAGCCAAATGGAGGTTTCCGTGCTGTTAGAATATCCAGTATGTTTGGCGGTGTTATCGTTGCTAGAAACGTGTCTACGGGTCTTATAGAAAGGGTTTATGAATAAACAAAATGCGCAAAAATGAATAGATTGATTATATAAATAGCGGAGTTCACCTAAACTGCAGCCGTAACGTAGGATCAAGTGCGCAGGATAATGTGGTACGCGATTCAAGGACGCCGTTTGACTGAGTAGGAAAAATCCAGAATAAACTAAGTAAGTTGCCTTAGCATTGTCATATCGAGGAGTCGCGAACAAAATAAAGACAAAAGGATTGTGTAAAATCGTGTGAATTTTTCTTCCGTTAAGGAAACTGTGTGCCATAATAGAGAAAACAAAGAATAGGTGCCGAATTACGTAGTCTGCCATTTAATACACATTTATGTTGGCTTACCTTAATAAGGTCGAATAATCGTCGGATAATATTGACCACAAATTTTGTGATGTCTCTTAAAGTACCTCCTAGAGTTCTCTTTCCTTGAAGTGCTGGGGGCTGGGGCGTATCGGAAGACTCTAGACTTCGCAATAGACGTTCGAAAAATGTTGGGCTCACCTATTGATTACCATTAAGCGCGGTTAAATATAAAAAGATGATAAACATGCGACTCGTTTACTGTTTACTCAGATTGAAGTTTGATCCATCTGAACTATGACGAATACACAGAGGTGTATGCATTGTTTGTGCTCCTCTATTAATATAATGCAATAAAACTTTCCTTTGTTGATGAAAAGATAATACTATTTACTGCGCAAATATTTCAGTGCCATTTTCAGTAGAAATCCTTAGGCCGTAAGGCGAAGAGGACAAAATAAAGGCAACATGAAATAGCAACTAACAAATTCAAAGACTACCTTTATTTGCATGTACGTTGCTGGAACTTTAGTAATACACGTATAATAAGAAAATTTTAAATTAATTGATATCTAGTAAGTGCCAGCCTTTTGCAAATAAATTGAAGAATCAGTGTGGTAAACGATGGGTTAATTGCAACGCTAGAAACAATTCAGAACCTTATTTATTTATTCATTCCCTGAGGTTTTTTTTATGTGCCAAACCTTAAAGTCGGGACTGGCCAATTTGTTTATGGAGTACGAAATATCGTCCAGTGTTGTCTTTAGCTCTTTTTCGTTGGTAGGTAGTATTGGTGGAACTTCGGTGATTACCGGTACGATTGAGAGGTAGATCAAAATAGACCAATAGGATAATAATGAATAGTAACGCATTGTTACGCTTCGTCTGAAATAGGAAACAAACAAGCAATAAAAACAGTACGTAAAGTGAAGCAGCGATTTTCATTGATCCCCATTATAAACTGTTAATACGCAAAGTAAATTTTGATATCTTAAAAAGTTATTTTTAATTTTTTAAGATATCAAATTTTTTTTAATTTTCGTGTCAGCGTCGTAATTGTTGTAGCAATCATTTCGTACCGAAAGGTGGACATGGCGGAAAGTTGCCGTCTGATAGCAACGAACAGCAGACATTCCTGAGGGGATGTGCGTCGTGCCAGACACACGCAATCTGAGCCCCTTTCCGCAAAAAAAGCAACAGGGTATTTGTCAGGGCTTTGTAACCGGCAGCAGATAGAAACGCCTTCAGAAAGACAACAAGGACGACGCTCCTTATAACTAAAACCTGGATTGAACATCAGTTTACCATCTGGCGTGTCGAAAATGCCGAGAAGTGGTAATACGTCAAGCAGACATGAGATAATTGGATGCCTGTGAAATCAGTGAGCTTTTCAAGAGTGCGGCAGGATAGTGTTAGCGTTTAAATATGACAAGTTCCCGTAATGGTTTACTAGTAAAGCGTTCGTCTATTATATTTAGGGATACTCAAAGGGTGTAGGTTTAAAACCGAGTGTCGGACATAAATGTTTCGTTTCGTGCTAGAAAAACCAGCCGCCTTAAATAACCTTAACGTAATATGCGAAACAATTTTAGTTAGTCTGCTTGTAGAGTGAACCATCAGCCAAGTAGATTTCCTTTTCAAGTTATGATAAATGTTCTCATTTTAATTTTACAAACTTTATTTACATATAATGATTTTATTGAATAATAGATACAGACACAATGGTCGCATACGGCATGACTACATAATGTATTTGCCCACTCTATGGAATGTGACACTTAAATTTGAACGAATCTATATGAGTTCTCACTGATATACCTATATATCGTTATGTCACGATCATGTTTCCAATACATGATAACCATCTGACTTGACATCAACGATAACTGTATATACATTTTTCAACGTTTTCTTAAAAGTGCTCTTGGCGAAAAGTAATTTTCCATGTTACTGTCGACAGGCGCTGTAGGGTGGAACAGTTGGCCCCTAGTGAGAACCAAGATATTCTCGAGATGCAACAGGATACGTCACAATAGACCAAGTAAAAATGGAATATCGAAGGTTACGCGTGGCGAAATTCAAATTGAAATCAGACAAAACAAATACTTGTTTGACGACCTTACCTAAAAATATTAGACATGGCACAACCTACGGAGCGGGCGACTGACCCTCGAGCCTACACCGTGCCTAACTAGTAGTATTGGGACTGGGTAGACACCAACAGGGATTTCTATACTCAACCGCAATACAAGAATCAAGTGTGAAGATAAAAATGATTGCATGTCTAAATCACCATTGAGCTGATAATATTCCAGAGTATTCACGCATACGATGAACGTATGACAGTGTTTGTCGAAACATTTCGTTAAAAAAAAAATTTACAAGATAAAATTCACAAGCACATTCGGAGCTATTTCGTACTCGATAATGCTTACCTTACTTGCTAAACAAAGGTGAACTGTTGGTCCAGAGTCCAATCACTCTCATTCATAGAAAATTTTGATTAATCGAAACTTCAATCACGGACCGCCAACTCCGTCGATTGTAACAGTATCATCAAACTTATGCAAAAGCCTTTCTTGCATAAGTCATCTCAGTCCCTATTAAAGGATTCGTATATCTTCTGTCGTTTCGCGCAGTAATTACGTCGCCTTTGGTTGACGAGAGTCTTCTGGCTCGATGCCTCACAACAGTACCGGCAAAAGCGGCAACGATACGTAGTACCAGCGGTAAAACAACTGTATTAAGTAAGCGAAGTGTTTACTAATGAGAATAGTGCGCGAACCGTCAAATGGATCATGTCCAAAATTAAGATACGGGCTGTGGCAAAGGAAATGAAACTCATGTAAGAGGAGAAGAAACTCTTGCGTCGACTAGCTAATCGCGTCGGCACCTGACGGGCAATCCAGCCGGCCGACATATCCGGACCGCTGCCTTTGCTTTCCGCTTGCTATGCAAAGGCGCTATTCAATAAAGTATTCATAGTCTCTGTTGTGACCATCTTTTTGGGTTTTCTGGACAAGTTCAGATTGGAAAGGGGAAATATAAACGTTGTTTTGCGGATACGTCTGTCGGTTGAAATCTTCCAAACAGCAGTGCACAGTCTCACGCAAGAACAGAAGCTGGCAAAGCCAAGCCAGCGCACTGACAGAATCGCGATGTTTTTTTTTGGAATTTGATAGCAATTACAACACAATGATATAATAGATAGAAACTGATTTTACACACTGATATTGCATGACTAACAACCGTTCTAAGTCAATAACATAGTAATTATAATGCTATTGAAACAAACTAACTGGCGTATGTAGGTTTAATAGGAGCTAAGTCTTTGCCTCCGTACAACGCATGCAAGTTCTATATTCACTAAAAAGAACTTGCATGCGCATTCCAAGAATACATTGGCAATATTTTATAAATATTACGTGGTTCTTCTTAGTGGCTTGCTATCGTCTAGCAGATCTACCGTAATTATAAAAGAATATCCAGCAACTCCCAAGCAGCCTCTTGCCTCAAACAGATTTCGAAGAATGTACCACACTATCTTCTTAAAAACATCATAGGAGAGCCGTAGCGTATGCATTACGAACGCTCTTCCTTTTATGAGTTACTGTCGTTTGCACGTTGGCCTTGATACAAAAGGTATCCATTCTGTTATATTTCTTATCTATTATTCATTTTCTTCCTCGAAATCCCCGGATATACTGTTTTTTACGGCTGCCGGTAACTTCCCTTTCGGTTTCGGGAGCTGGAATCCACCTAAACGCTCAAAAGAAGACCCTTCAGTAAATCAATTCAGTGTGACTGTTGTTGCTGCGGTGTCCGAGTAAGTCGCAACGCGCACAGCTCGTACTTAGACATAAATACAAAAGCGGCCAACTGACAGATGACACACAAACTATCTTGACGGCAGCAGAAGCAGCAAAAACCACAGTAGATTTACCCAGAAAACGAAAAATGCCACCGAAGCGCTGCGCTCATTTGGCTATCCGAGTGCCGTTCATCGATATCGGTACCATTATATTGAACTGTGAGATCATATCCTATGGGCATAGCATGCTTGGTTATTCAATATCATAAGACCGATTTGATGTTTCATAGGAGGTAAGTGGGCTATCGTTGATTAGGCAGCTGCTCTAAAAAAGGCGCATGTTTGCGGTTGAAACATAAGGCTTTTAGGCTTCTATTAGGGAAAGTGGAAAGGGATTTAACAGGTAGGGAGGAGACCAGGAAGTATGGACGAGCAGGTAGGCCAAGGAAGTACAAGAATACGGATACATGAGTACCTTATAGAGTTAGACTTACGACTGGACCAGACGTGACTCAGGTGAAAAATTCAGACTACCGATTGGGAAGAAAGGTAGATTTACAATTGAAATAAACAGTGCTTAATTGAAAATTTTTTTGTTCATGGTCGGATATCTGTTTCTCTCTAACTGTGACCTTACGTCATAAATAGTACAAGATTTGTTTTTGACCTCCTTTCTGGCTTCAAGTTGAACATATTGTGCGACAATATGATCCATTAGATGTTTCAAGTTTTTACGTTGAGTATCGCCGTTAGGCATGTCTTCAAACGTGCCAAGTGTAATGTTCTTGCCTTTTTTTTTTCAATTAGATAATTACCAAATAAATAAAACGGCTTTCAGTAATTGATCCTGTTTTTTTTTTTTAATTAAAAGCTCGGCATTTTATGAACTGATTAGGTTCCATCATTTTCAAAACTACCGTCATAGGGATGCCACGCGCTAAACACCTCGGGATCCATACCGCTCACGTGTTCACAACGTTTTAAAACGATTGTTCGACGTCTGTTCCTATTGGATATATTTGTCACAGACGCTTCACTAAATCTGATGATTTTTAAAGGCTTATGACTCATAGTGCTTTTCACAGACATTCTAACATACGTAATTGGTTAATGTTATTCTAATTTACATAATATTGTAGTCCTTTAAAAGCAGTAATGGATTTTAGCTGTGATCTTTGATTTGAATAGAAAACACTTTCATTTAATAATACTTACGGGGACGTGGAGAAGTTTACAAACTGAGAGATAATTATACATCTGTCTATTTTTACAACCGAGCACGCTGATCGTAAAGAGATTTTTCTTTGGACAACGGTGCTCGGGCTAGGCTGTCTCACAACTTTTTGCGCTGGAGTCTTTTGAACACTAACTATGAAACTAATGAGATGCGCCATCTCGGCCTTGTACCCACGTGATTTCCATATGTACCACTCCGATTCTCATATATATAGCTAGCCTGCCACTTTTCAGCCATTACCATGAAAACAGTAATTTCGATGGAACAATTTTGTCAAGGACCACACAAACACTGTTACTGGCTATCTGTATAAGGACGAGTTGCTTTACCATAATATTAAAGCATTACCATAATATGAGAAAAGAGCGAAACGGCTCGGTGAATGCCGCGATACCGTATGTAAAGTAATGATACGATTGGAAGTACAACGGACCCGTATTCGGAAGATTTATTTATTTACAAGAAACTCTGCTTGAAAATTGTGGTTCAATCCCTTCGGGAATAATAATAATAATAATAATAACATGTTTCCTGAAATCGAGCTCCCGATTTAGGCAGTAGTCTAGTAGCATTTTAGGTGCTGGCGATTTGGCTAGCCGTAGATACGCATCTGGGTATTTCAAATCTGAATACCAAAATAAAACATTTACAAAAGCACTGAAATGGATTTGAATAAGTTAGAAATATGGGCATCAAAATTGAGATCGGTCATCATTCGAATACCAATTGTAAATCTAGATTGGCGGAAACTACACCACGGAAAAGAACACCCCCAATATTGTACTCAGAATCATCATCATCATCATCATCGTGCTGAAACATGTAGCATCAATTCCTTGACAAGTTAGTCGTAACACGAGTTAACTTCGACACAAGTTGTCCCTTCATCAAATGGGATATTTTATTAATATGCTATTTTCAACTATTAATAATGAAACAAGAAAATTGAAGCTAAATATGTCATCTGTTAGTGATCTTAGGATAATCGAAACTGACGGCCTACATATGGCCTACTGAATCAATAAAGAAGTTCTCTTCCAAACTATACACATTATTCTATTATTTTTCAATAGAGTTTCATCGGCCCTCCTCATAACTAAAGAAATTAATTAGACCTATGATCATCGGGTCAATATTGGATACTCATTCCAAGCATGTGGAAATAGCGTTTCTATCGTGAACCACGAGCGGAGAAAACGTGTTCCCATTTAGATAAATTGCTATTTGGGGATATTGCGCCTTGAGCCTGCCTGTGATTGCCAGTCTTTTACAAAAGCAACGTATTTCCTTTTTTTTTTTTTTTTTTTTTTTATGGATCCTTGATCGTCATTCGCAGGGAAGTGGTACTTCTTATTACGTAGCCCTAACGGGAAACCTTTATCTCCTTTAACGTGCCCATTGTTAACCGAATTGTATTTATTGCTAGCCAAATTAGCTTCCATAGCAGTACTTGAACAACCCTGAATCGAAACTAGTAAAGCAATCTTTAGGCCGAGATTCGGCCAACAACCAAGCATTTAGTCTAACTTTACTGGATTTTATGAACTTTTTCATTTTATACGAGTCGTGCAATGATTTTGATCTTTTTGCCTGTCGTAATATCATACATGATGCGTGGGCGGAGCTGCACTTATTGCGGAGGCGTTTAGCGGACGACTGACCATTTAGCGAAGGATAGACCGACGGGCTGCCATCGTAATGCTGTGGTAACATGTTTGTTAGTTGGACCTAAGAATACGCCGTGGCCTTTGTTTCGTGTTGAGAGGGACAACCTCAATTTCACGTGGAGCAAAAAAGAGCTTTGCTGGCTATGAGCGCTCCCAATGAATTGATAGGCAGACGCAACAGTCGGGAATCAAAAAGACAGCTTTCGAAACATTCCCTCATCCATCGATCGTTGTAGTGTTTATTCGAATCGATAGCGTTGCTGTTACTGACGCCACCAAGTGCTTACGGGTGCTATTGCTGTATCTGACGGGATATTGACGGACCGAGTGAAGCGCGCATCTATCCGGTACACGCCATTTGAAGGTCCGCGTTTGCCCACTAAAGTACAGGTCATTAGTATTTGTCTTACTATGTAAATCATTCCTGCGTATCGTGAGCAATATAGAAATGCTCGAGCCGGACGGAGTGCTGAAAGCTCGATGGACCAGAAGTTTCTGGGGATGCCGCCTGATATATGTTTGATAAAGAGGTAATAATAGTAAGCTGAAGCTTAACGATGCAAAGGGGCGTCACCGTTCAAGGCTTTTCGCATAACACGCGGCCAATCAAAGTCTTCACCTAATAAATATGGCTAAATGGCCTGGTTGTCTCGTCTTAGCATTTTATTTTGGCTGGTGTCGACTAAAAGGCTAAACTGCTGCCTGAAACGCTGGTGGGTAATAAGGCGTTTTCGGTCGAAGAAGGTTCATGTTTTCAAATGGACATACATATAATTTTTTTTGCATCTCCGCAATGATCTAAGGACTAGTGCTTTTTGGCTGCAAAAAAAAAACTCCTAGCAACCTGGTTTGAGTCAAATTTCACCTAATATCCATTAGTTGAATGTCTACGTCAACAGAACCCTGGGCAGGTGATTGCAAGTCAGGTATTTCAGGTAGTCCTTAATATTTGAGCCAGTTTGTTAGCGGTCGTTTACGTCTATAAGCGCAGCGCAAGTTGCAGTCAGGTCGGAAAGCTATCTGGACTTTGAAAGTTTTAAATAAGAACTTGCAACACCATCAGAAATCCAACAGGCGCCACGTTCAGTTTGTAATAAAGCGATTCGTACGAATGTCAAATTCGTTGCAAATACTCCTCAAATACAGCCTAACGTGACCGCTAGTTAA